TATTCTGGGCAGATATCCAGGATGATAAGCCAATGTCGTAGTTAACATCTTCATCGTCACTATTGTCTCCATCTGGCAAAAATTTTACCACGACAAACTGAAACAGTGCAATACAGTTGAAAATGAACATTTTTTCACATAGACATTGTGTGCAAAATTGGCACACATAAAAATATAGCACCATCTGGCATCAGCCAACATTTTGAGGAAACATCTGCCAATGAAAATAAATGGCACTCGTTACTGAGATGTGCTACAGAAAATATTCCAAGTCTAGAGGAGGGTAAGGGATACTGAAAAAAATCACTCTTCTGGAGAAAGACTTTTCCTACCAACTGAACTAAGCCATTGCAATTTTGAAAGATGTCTTGCAACACAACCACTTGTCCATTAGTAGTGCTGAAGCAAATATCTCTGTCATTTAGTTGAAGCACAGTTTTACCAATAGACATTTTCTTGAAATGAATACCAGGGACATCTGGATTTTCATACTGCATGGACAGCACAACTTCAATATCATCTGGAGGCAGGCTCATGGTGGTAGGAACATTTGACCTTTCAATGATCCTGAAAGCCGCCTGCTGGAGAGGTTTATAAAATGACTTGAGGTTTCTCTTCAACATCATCAAAGCATTTTCAAATGGGAATGCAGAGAATGCATCTAAAACACCATGATCTTCACATTCTTGGACTAGATGGATTAGGGCGTGGACATTGTATACCACAAATGCCTGTCCATATATGAGAACTGACTGCTGTACAAAATTCACCAGTAGGTTTTTTGCAAAATTACGCATTTCTGCAGAGGTAACATGGATGGGACTTGCTAGAATATACAGTGCAGTGTATAACAAAAGGAAATGTCGGTACACATTCTCATCTAGATTATCCCTGAAGATTAATATGGAATCATAATGAAGTCTTCTAAACTCATGGGCTCTAAACATTTTGATATCATTTAAAGATCGTGGTGGCCTGTTAAAATCAGAGGGACAAGAGGGCTCCAGAGCATTCAGAACCTCATCAATTGCCTCTACAACTGTCCAGTGCAGATGAAACAAACCGTTCCACTTCAGCCAAACAAACAGTAAGCGTCTGAATACTCCAAGATAGACCAGATGCATCGGGTCTAGGCGAAATTGTGAAATCATACGAGTGCCAATTAGTTGAAGGGGTGAACGCCCGATATGGTGCATGGGCTGAGTCTGGTTTTCATATGACTCATCAGTGCGGAGATCATAATTTAAATCAGTAAAGGTCATACGATTGTTGACGTACTCTCCAACAACACAGCATTTTTCACAAGAGCAACGAGAATTAAAAAGTACACAGCATTTAATGAAAGCTCTGGCCGGAGCATCTAAAATGTAATTTCTAATTCCAAATTGGTAACGATTCACACCGACTTCAACGCCCTGGCGTTCAAGGGACTCAACTTCAAGTGCAAAATCCATGAGAAATTCATATACGTCTTCAGGGTCTTTTTTTCCAAGATAAATTGCTATTACAAAAGGAGGGCTATCAGAGCCAACAAGTTTCCCCAAAATAGGCCAAAATTTTAAATTTGACGTTTTTGAAAGAGATACACCATCAATACCAATATCTAGGCTTATTTTGTCATATTTGAGGACATATGGTTCCAATTCAAAGGCATCTAATGCAACTCTGATTCCCCTGTACCACATTTGCCCTCCACCAGCCATGTTGGTCACAGGGAGATTTCGAGGAGTATGAAGCAGAGTTTTGTAAGATGAGGGCAGATTTGGAAATCGCACTCTGAGATCAAGAAGAAGCTCATCCAATTTCCGCATTGATGATGGTCCCTTCCTCAATGTCCAATTTCTTAGAGTATTTTTCACAAAAACACCCAAATCATCTTCGTCATTATGGCCCTCAGGTGCTAAAGGATTTTCATCGTCTGATGGTTGGGAGTCATGGTCATCATCATCTTCATCATCACTGTCACTATCACCACCGTCTCCATCATCACCGTCTCCATCATCACCATCTCCATCATCACCGTCTCCATCATCATCGTCTCCATCATCACCGTCTCCTCCTCCATCATCATTGTCGGTAGAGATGTCAGAAAATGAAGGTTCTGGATCTGATACAGAGTCCGCTTCTGATGCAGCACCAGGACTAGGAGAGGCAGCAGCAGTGTCACACACTATAACATAATGCAAAAATTAGTCCATGATTTTTCACAACAGTATCCGTATTTCAGTTTAACTCTCATTATCACATCAATGCAAAACAATCACCAGACGATGATGAAGCACTGCCACAATCTCTATTGTTCCTTGAAAGACTAGCTCCACCTCGAAGACAATCTATTTCCCTGCGACATCTAAGTTCCCTCTGGACTTGTCGCTGGATCCTGCGATTTTCTGCATACCTGCTTGACTAGTTTGTGTAGGAATTAGAAAGAAAAATAAAATACTTCCACCTGGGTTTCAAAGGTCGTGTCGATTATGATTATTAAAAAGATCAATCACCAGATAAGAACTGGCCTATGTTAAATCGTGCCTCCCATTCAACTTGGAATATTTTCTGCTTTACAAAACATCACTCCATGTTTCTTAACCTAGAGACACTCATGGGATATGATATGTCTAAATTATTATTAGAAACTAATAACTGTCAAAACAAGGAAATAGGAGAGCAAAATAAGCTGTACATTTTAATTACTTACTGGTGGAATTCGGTTTTCGTCCATTCTTTCTTATTTCTTGTTTAATTGTTGAAGTGAAAACGCCGGTGCTTGTCCACCTTCGACCATCATTGGCAAGTAGCGACATCACATTCACATTGTAATTCACATTCCAAACTTGGTTCCC